GGTCTTGGATTTGGCGTCCGGATTTCATCAAATCTATGAGCCCGAGGGATGTTCACAAAACCGCTTTCACCACGCCATACGGACACTACCAGTTCAAGAGGATGCCATTCGGGCTGAAGAATGCGCCCGCTACTTTTCAAAGATTAATGGATAACGTATTATCAGGACTCCAGGGAAACGAGCTCTTCGTATACATGGATGATATTGTATTATACGCAAAATCACTAAGAGAACACGAAATAAAATTCCAACGACTAGTACAAAGATTACGCTCAGCGAACTTAAAGTTACAACCGGATAAGTGTAAATTCCTGTGTAAAGAAGTCTGTTACTTGGGACACATTATTGGATCACATGGCGTCAAACCAGACCCCGAGAAAATCAAGTCTGTAAGTGATTTTCCCGTTCCCCGGAGCCCTAAGAACATTAAACAATTTTTAGGCCTCGCTGGATACTACCGAAGATTCATTCCAAACTTCTCCAAGACAGCTAAACCACTCACTGATTTACTGAAAAAAGATAAAGAATTTCATTGGTCTACAAGTCAAGAAAGTGCTTTTATTACTTTAAAAACCGCCCTATGCTCCAATCCTATATTACAATATCCCGACTTCACGAAACCTTTTATTCTTACGACCGATGCATCTGGATATGCTATCGGCGGCATTCTAAGTCAAGGCCCCATCGGGAAAGATTTACCAATCGCCTATACTTCACGCGTTTTAAACAAGGCGGAACAGAATTACTCAACCATTGAAAAGGAGTGCTTAGCAATTATATATTGTGTAAGTCACTTCCGACCTTACCTTTATGGTAAACCATTTGTTATAATTACCGATCACAAACCACTTGTATGGCTAAACTCGGTTAAGGATCCATCCTCACGATTATGGAAATGGAGAAGCAAACTCCTGGAATACGAATACGAAATAAAATACAAGAAGGGCACTTTAAATAATAACGCTGACGCCTTATCTAGAAATCCCCCAGTAAATTTTATTTTCCCCATTGATTCCGGTGATGATTCTGATGAATTTTTATTTTCTCCTAGATCACGGATTATTACCCCCCTACTTCCCTTACCTGCACCCAACTCACCAGATCCTTCGAACTCGTCAGTAACGAATCCTGCAAATCGAATGAATATGTCATTAAATTCACCTCATGATGATTATGTAGAAATGTCTAACCCCGCGTCAGAACTAACAATTGAAGAAATTCCTATGTCAAGTGATGATGAATTAAGCTCCGATTCTGACCACGATTACGAGGAAATATTCACTCATGTGACCACGCCATACGAAAATCGCCGATTACATTATATTGAATATAATGTAAATCAAGCTCCTAACATTATCGAAGTTCGTAATAATTTTTTAGAACAAAAAGGAGTTCACGCTATATTTATTCAGGTAAACGGTATGCCTTTTGACCAAGGAGCGCAATTATATTATAATGCTAATCTATTGCCAAAGTATGAACACCTTACATATGAACGAGCTACTATACGTACCATTAAAGGTAACACTTTAATTTCTTTACCCATAAAATTAAATTCTTACACGTTAATCGAACCAACCAACCTGAAGAATTGTTTACTGTCTCTTTTAGACGTAATAACAGAACTAGAATTAACGAACATATATATGTCTAAAAGTATTTCATTCGACGACCTACCATGGTCATATGTCATTAAACAATTAAAGAAAATGTTAACAGGAACCAATTGTCGAATAATTATTTGCCAAAATTTGGTAAGAAACCCTACTGTACCAGAACGCGAACAATTAATATTAGAAAACCACGCGTCAGCAGTAGGAGGACATAAAGGTGTCACTAAAACCTATAATAGGATTAGGCCTCATTATTTTTGGACTAACATAAAAAAGGATATACAGGATTTTATCCAGAAATGTAGAGATTGTCAGCTGAAAAAATTAACAAGAGTAAAAATTAGACAGCCAATGATTATTACAGATACCCCAGGTGCAGCTTTCGACAAAATTTCATTAGATATCATGGGACCTCTACCTGTAACGAACGATAATAACCAATATATTGTTACGCTCGCAAGGAATCCTGCTCACTAACGGAAAGCGGCGCCCGGTATCGTGGCGGGTTGCCACGATACCGATCGGCAACTATTTTGAATGTAATCAATCGATAGATTTGAAGCTTGGCTCTCGAGCCGTGTTGACGTGTTAATTCCAATAAAGTTCCTGTTCTTTCTAACTGGTGTGTCTCTTTGACGCGTACGTGCGCGGAGGAGTGCCGGCACCCTCTAGAACCGAGTGCGCGACTGGTGAGCGCGGAGACACCGCGAACGGTGAGCGCGAAGACTCGCGCGGAG